CTAAGAGAGACTAACTTGGCTTTCAGTTTGTCATACTGTGGTGGTTGCTAAGACAGGCTTGGAAGAAGGAAGAGGCCATCTACTTCTCAAACAGTTGGCCAGTGAAAACCTTATGAATAGCAGTGAAACACTGTCTGATATGTTACTGGAAGACTTTATGAATACCCCTGAAACATTGTCCGATATAGTGACAGAAAATGAGCCCCTCAGGTCAGAAGCCTCTCAAAAATACAACTGGGGAAGAGCTGCCTACTCAGAGTAGAGCTGACCTTAATGATGTGGATAAAGTAAAGGTTTCAGGATCTCCATTTGCTGATGTGGCATGACTCAAGATAAGAAGAAACAGCTGCAAACATCCATTAATAATCAGAACATAGAATGTATGAATTGTGAATCTAAGAAAATTGGAAGTTGTCAAAAATGAAATGCGATGCATAAAGATAGATATCCCAGGTATTAGTGACCTGAAATAGACTGGTTTTGGCCATTTAAAATCAGACAATAATATGATCTATTCTGGGAATGACAAATTGAAGAGGAATGGATTGGCATTCATCATCACAAAGAATGTATCAAGATCTCTCCTGAAGTAAAACACTGTCAGTGATAGGATAATATGCATACGCCTATAAGGAAGACCGGTTAATATGAGTATTATTCAAATTTACACACCAACCACCAAAGCCAAGATGAGGAAATTGAAGATTTCTACCAACTTCTGCAGTCTGAAGTTGACCGAACATGCAATCAAGGTGTGATGATTATCACTGGTGAATGGGATGCAAAAGTTGGAAACAAAGCAGAATCACCAATAGTTGGAAAAGATGGCCTTGGTGCTAGAAATATCACTGGAGATCACATGATAAAATTTTTCAAGTCCAACGACTTACTCATTGCAAATACATTTTTCAACAACACAAACGGCAGCTGTACACGTGAACTTTGCCAGATGGAGTACACAGGAATCAGATTGACTACATCTGTGGCAAGAGGTGATGGAAAATCTTGATATATTCAGCCAAAACAAGGCTAGGAGCTGATTGTGGAACAGACCATCAACTGGTCATATGCAAGTTCAATTTGAAGCTGAAGACAATTAAAACAAGTCCACATGAGCCAAAATATGACTTTGAATATATCCGTTCTGAATTTAGAGACCATCTAAAGAATAGGTTTGATTCATTGAACACCAGTGACTAAAACCCAGAGCAATCGTGGGATGGTGTCAAGAATATCATCCATAAAGAAAGCAAAAGGTCATTGAAAAGACAGGAAAGGAAGAAAAGACCACAATGGATGTCAGAAAAGACTCTGGAACTTGTTCTTGAGCAAAGAGTAGCTAAAGCAAATGGAAGAACTGACAAGATAAAAGAACTGAACTGAAGATTTCAAAGAGCAGCTTGAGAAGACAAAGTCAGTTATTACCTTGAAATGTGTGACGATGTGGAGTTAGAAAACCAAAACCGAACAACATGCTCAGCATTTCTCAAGCTGAAAGAACTAAAGAAAAAGTTTAAGCCTCAACTTG